TCTCCCCTCCTGCACCCCTGCGCTCTGCATTTTGTCCTGATCTGGGCTAGGTCTCAGCGCTCTTGGATCTGCTGGATGAGCTATAGCCTCTATGTATGCTAAGATATGAAATATAACCCCCTCATTTCTCTGCGGTTTCGGTGGAATGTAATTTCTCTCAGTTTATCCTGTTTTTCCAGGTACAGCGTATTGGGTTTCAGCCCCATGTCTGGAAAAACAATGTTTCTCTTGAATTCGGACATGTCTGTGAAGCTTTTCATAAAGGTTGGGGGACAAACTTGATAAACTAAAAATCTGCAGCAGCCAAATATTAACAGGCTCAGTTCTTACAGGAACAGATGGAATCTGGTATTAGAGTCCAAAAGATCTGCAAGTCGTTGTGAAAGATTATATTGGGAAAAAGAGCAGCACAGAGTTACACTTTCCTGCTCTTAACAAAAATGATTATCTGCATTAGCTTCCATGTCCAGTTTTCAGAGTAACTCAAAAAGAAGAGAAAGTCCATCCTCTTGCATTTCAGAATTAACCACAATCTTGAAGGTCTCTTGTGTGATTTTGCAATGAAATAACTTTAGTTTTGCCAGTTGCATATTTTCTCTAAGCGAGGAAACAAAGACATCATTTTAGCTCAGGCAACAGTGCTTCAGGACAGCTATTTTCATTTCTGATTTTTCCAGGTTACAGGAAAACTTCTGATTTCTATGGGAACGGTAGCATTTTGTAAAGCATCCAAAGATTTGAGAGCACAGGACTGTGCTTTGAATCATGGTCTGATCCATGTACAGCTGTAAGAAGTCCCCCCAAGGAGCATCTCCACAAGGGCACTTTCTCTAGTTGGCTTGTAATCATTTGGATCTCCAAAATAGCGTTTTGAAAGAAGGGCCAGGGGAGAGGAAGAGTGAGACCCTTTCAGGCACAACTTCTTTGCACAAAAAATAAACCACAAGATGCTGCTGAAGAAAGAAGCACTCAGTATCAAAATCCAAGGGCCTGGAGACAGCCAAGGTGTGTGGGCTGAGGGACTGACATCACATCTCTGGGAAGCTGCTGTGAAAGATGAGGTAGTGGGAGGCCGAATTCAGATGTTATTTACACCTTTTTAATCCTGCGCGCGTGTGTGAAGTCAGCGCAACTAGTGGCAAATAATCCCAGTGTCACAGAGCAGCTGGCAGGAGGGTGTGCGCTGGGCGCCCTTGAATTCAGGGTGACCCCCACGTGGAGGTTCAGCACGCTGCTCCTCCTGGTTTCCTGCGGGACGGTGCCGCCTTGCAGGGGAGGGCAGCACATCTGGGGTGACCTGGAGACTTCTGTCAGAACTACCTGCATCTCTGAATGTCCTCCTCAAGTGATGGGCTTGATTCACGTGCGAGTAGGAAGGAGTGGCTGCTGTTTCTTAGATCTACTCTAAACTGCTTAAGAAGCTGGAAATGCTATACCAGTCAGAATTTTTGTCACTATTTAAAGTTTGTGCAGTGCTTTGAAGATGAAAAGTGCTCTATAAATACTCTGTTCTATTTTTTAACTTCGTTAGCCTTCACACACCAGCTATTAAAAGAACTAAGACCTGAAAGCAGTTAAGCTCGGGAAAGAGCGATAATATTAATAATACTTCGCTCATGCTTATGTCCAAAAATGTTAACAACCATTACAAATAAGAGGAAAACGTTAGCCCAGAAATAAGTTATCCATGCTTAGAATCCAGAGAAACTAAGGCACAAAAGAAATAGGGTCATATTTTAAAATATATTTAGGCATTTAATCTCAATTTTTTGGATCAAACTTTTGGGGAGATAAAGTTACATGAATGACTTATTCAAGGTAAAAAAAAGAAAAGAAAAAATCTCCTTCAGTTTTGGAAGTTTATTGCCTCTGGTAAAACACAGCTAGGAGAGCAACAGTTCTTCATTTCATACTGATAGTTTTCAAGGTTCACCACTTTTTCCCTCCCAACTCTACTGGTTGGTCTAGTAGTGAAAGACACTGCAGCCCCACTCCCTCTCTCTCCCTCTCTTTCCTTGACGGTGTTACATAGCATATATTCCTGCAGAATTCCTCTATGTTTTGCTGGGAAGGGTATAGACAGATGAACAACAACTTGCTGTTGAGCAAACACCTTGAATCACTCCTTGGACCAGTTCTGCTTGTAGGGTCCTTGAGCTCATGTCTCCTTTCCTTCACCATCCTTGTAGGATGGAGTCATCAGAAGAGCAGAGACTGCCTGAAGTTGGCAGCGTGGATGTCTGTTTTCTCTGTGTGATAAACTGGATAGCTTCAAGATTTCAAGGCCAATTATCCCGGGAGCCTTCGCATATTGACTTTTTTTTTTTTTTTTTTCTGGAGGAAAGCCAGCAAAAAGAGAGAGGCTTTTATCAGGTCAAAAATAGTAACTTCGCTACAGAATTGTTGGGAGCAGAGGGAACTCCTCATGTAATAGCAGTGCTTGTAAATCCTTCCTCCCACGTCCAGGCTGCACGGTTTTGATGGGGAGGAGAAAGGAGGGTGCTTACTATTTGACTTGGCTGCTTCTAAATGGTCCTAAGTGGCAGGTGTTTTACCAGGCACATCATTTATTATTGGAGTGGCTTACAATACGTCACCTTAAGATGCAAGCTGGGTTAAAGAGCTGGAAGGGAGCAAGGGGACCTACACCTCAGTGACTATGTGAGGAGCAGAGGCTGGGCTAGGCCTCATCGGATGGTAGCCACAACACCTCGTGTTCTTGGACGTGGCAGGAAGCCCGTGGCACCAAACGAGGCAGCAGCCGGTCAAACTCAAGAAGCAGAAGTTTATGGAGGATATAAGGAGTACTTAAAAACAGGCCTTTTTTGCTTCCGTTCTCAAGTAGGGGAATAGGTGTCGTATGTGTCTGCATGGTGCTGAGAGCATGTCTGTCCCACCAGAACGGAGTTCATTGCCATAAAGAAAATAATGAGCTGATAATTACAGCAATTTATAATCCACATCCTGACAGCCCTAGATATTTTCCACTGGTCCATACAATGCAGACTAATCAGAAACAACAGAAAAGAGGGAGGAAGCTATTGTTAGGGCAGAGTTGCCCCATATTCATAGAATATTAATCCACGGAGGAAATCTGTTGTAAAAGGAGTTGATAGGCAGCCTCACTTGAATGTGTTTATAAATGGGAGAAATGCACACGAAGAAGTACATTATGGTTAAAAAGCCGCTTGTTCCACCTGAAACAAACCCGAGCCCCCGTCTCTCTTGTAGAAGCAAGTCTACCAGGCTGCAGAAAGAGAAATTTGTCTTTGAGGAGTGATCAGAAAGATAAGTAATATGTCAAAGGAAAGAAAATACACTTTCTGTTCCTTAGGGGAAGAGGGTAAAAGGGGAAGAGGAAAAAAGAAAAGTCGAAAAAAAAACACTTTTAAAACTTTTTTTTTTCAGTTGTAGCCATAGTCCCTTTCCTTTGATTTGTCATGATTTAAATTCATACAAAAGATTTATTTCAGATAAGCCCCTTTAACTGTCAGGTCAGATTCTTTTTTTTTTTTTTCTTTCTCCCTCCAAAAAAGTCTTTTGTAAGAACAAAGTAACCGCTTGTGCCCCGGTGGCTGATGAGGGTTCAGTGTGGGTTTTAGCCTTCCTTCACGTGCTCTGTGCTCACCTCGTCCCAGGTTAAGCCTTAGGAAGGGGAGGGCAGGAGCGGCGCGCTCAGGGCTGGGGGCTGGCGGCCGCTGAGCGGAAACGGCTCTTTTTGAGGCTTCCTCGTTGGCAGGGCAGGAAATAAACACCCGCAGGAAGTCCCCTGGCCTTTTCTTGAACTTGAAGTTTATACAGCGCCTGATAACCGAGGCAAAACTTTGTGTACTTAAACTTTTGAAAATTAAATAAAAATGGCATGTGCCCTGGCCTGTGGTTTCTGCAAGCAGCTCATCTCAATACAGTGTTGAAAATTGGAAAGACTGTACACGATATCTGCTTTTACAGCTAGGACGTGAAGTCTTTTTTGTGCATCTCCTATCCCTTCTCTTTGCATTTCACTAATCCTCTCCCAGAGAAACTGAGCTGAAGCAGCAAAATGAACCCAAAAGTTGATGTTACAGAGCTGTTTTCCCTGCTTATGCCTCAAACTCTCTTTCCTCCTTTGCCTTTCCCATTTATCCTGTAAGCACCTTGGGTTAAGGATGGGCTTTGTATAACATCTTGTTCGGTGGTGGCCCATATTGATATTTGTTTAATGCTACATATATTGTGTATAAAAGGTCGTCTATGAAAGGAGGGTCAAAATAAATGGAGCGTCATTCTTGAGAATACCACTTTTGAAATCGATAGCATCAATTTACTAGCAGGGACATTTATAAGAATTTCTAAGAAATATTATTTGTGCTCATATGTGAGAGCTTTCACTGCAGACCTTACTGTTAGTAAGGTCATTGTAGATTTAACGCTTTTAAAAGAGCAGTTTTGCATATGTAATAATTGTCTTACAATTTGAGTAATTTAAAAAGGTCATGAAGTTTAATAGACTGTTTTGAAGGTTACATGTTTGCAATGTCCGCATAGATTTGTAAGATTTTGGCCTTGCCTAGCCACCAGATATGTTTCTTGAAGTCCTGAAATCCCTTCTAAACGTTTGCACTAAATTGCCATTTACTGTGAAACAGGCTTAGCTGATCAGCAGCACAGTAAATATCAATGCTCAGTTCATAACGATGAATAAAGATGGAAGTTCGAGCCATTAATCTGGTGAGATTGCTCCCAACATGCTTTTCCAAGACATCCCCTTAACCCTGCTACCTTTGCACTGTCTGATTTACGTCCCAGCCTCTAGCCCAACAGCCACTAAGCCTGGCTTTGAGGTGTTAAAAACTGGTACCTTTAAAGGCAGCAGCTCGTGTTTCCCCCAGTTCCTTACTGGAAACGCTGGGTTTGCTGCCGCCCGCAGCGTGTACATGCACCGTGTTGACGCGTGGCTGCCTTGTTTGCTTCCTGCTCTCAAAGGTATTTTTACGTTGCGTTTCTCTCTTTTCCGATAGTCCAGCTCCGCAGTGAGAACGTACCAGAACAGCAAAGCGCGAGTGACCATGAGCCCTGGCTTTAGCTCCCAGTGGAACAGCAGCCCGCCGGCCTGGAGCACATACACCTTCCCCAGAGCGAGCTTGCACTACCAGTCCCACGCCAGCTACACCTACTGCGCTGGACACCCTGCTGTGAGTAACGGCCCTTCTCCGTGACCCTTTCCGTGGCAGGAAGGGCGCCTGGGATGGAGCTAGGGCAGCGCTCCTCCTGCGCAACGGCTCGTCCTCGCGCGCGTCGCCTGTGCTGCTGTACGGTGTTGGAGTGAACCTAGGGCCTAAGCAGGTGTGAAAGTCCTGTTACGGCTCAGTGGAAATGCATTCTATTTTTAAACGTTTGTGGGGCTTTTTTCTAGCATGAAATCATGTTACATGCCCTGGTTTCACTGCCAGGGGTGTGGGGGGCAGTGCTCTGTCAGAGGTGGCTGCTCCTGTGTTCTTGGTGAGGTCCCTTGGTAGATGAATAAGTGTCCTGCCTGTTTCATAGGCTTTGAGTTGCATGAGTGAGTCAGTGAAGGAGAGCAATTCTTGTTATCATTAGATTTGTTAATATTTACTAATTTATAATCATCATCAGTAGTGAATGCGCGTTTTCTTGTTGCCTAATGGTCCTCAGTAATTTGCATGAACTTGTGCCCCAAATTAATGGTGGGCGGGTGGCGGGGATGGAGGGAGCTTCACTGATACTGTATTTTATAATTTGACAACCATAAAAGGGTCATAACTGCAGGCTGATGGTTTTTCATGTTCGTGTAGCCGACTGCTTGTATCGGAGCCCTTTGCTTCTTATAGGTGAAAGAAAGACTTTTGAGGCTTAGAGAGTTAACCGGAGAAGACCTCATTAGTGTAAGCAATCTTGCCTTTCTTCCCACTGCACACTTTGTTGTTCCAGTGTTTGCATTTGAATGTAGCTTGGGATTTTGTTAGAACTTCTTAAAGGACATACTATCTTAACATCCTGTCATGTGTATATAATGAAGTTTTGTCATCCCATAGTGAATTCTAGTAGGAAAACGGGGGAACGTGCGGCTGTTGCTACAAAGGGGAAATTGCGCTATGCAGTCTTTGCAAGATCTCTGTGATCTGATTAGATCTGCTATCTTATCTTCCAACAGACTTTAGGCCAGAAGTTTGGGTTAGGAATTATCTGAAGCATTAGCATGGTAATTGTAATGAAGGAGGGGAATAAATTGTAAAATCTTATCTTATTTCTGAGGTGGTGAGATCTCAGACTGAATTAAATATCTCTGTGGATTCTGCTGTTATCTGAGTTTTGTCACGGTGTCACTGAAAATTATAAAACCTGTTGTGGGAGGGAGAGGAAAGACATTGGGCATTAGAAGGGCATGAATATTTTCGTGGTTTGGAACGATGGCCTGAAAAGAGTTGCTGTGCTGCTCAATTTAGGTTAAGAATCTGTGGATGTTCAGGTCTTTAAGTGCTCATTAACTTTGATCATTTAAAATAAACATTACCCGTTTTGCGTAAAACTTTGACCCTGCTAAACGAAAGGGCTTACAAGAAGAATGCAGGACTTCCTGTAGGATGGTTTTAAATGGAGGCATCTTTGTATCCTTGTGAATTAACAAGCCCATCAAGGTACTAGAGTCTTTTTAGGCTAATGCCACAGTTTCTCTTTGCTTTGTTTAGGTTGGTGATATCTCAACTAGACTTACTTTACCTGTATGCTATTCGAGCTCCCTGGGCGCCTTCAAGTGAGGTCATTGGAAAGGAGGCTTCAACCTGGAATTCAATTTAACTGATTGCTGGGTAGGGGGAAATTCAGAATAGCTGGAGTTGCATGAACTTGTGTGCAGATGAGAAAAGCCAAGATCCAAGTGGATAGGTGCAAGGTGGAAGACTAAACCTGGATTACCTCTGTGCCATTTAGTAAATTTGGCCCGTCGTGGCTGGCAGCTCATCCCAGGAGCCTGCTGTGCTGCTGTTCAACCACATTAGCCGTCTCAGCGGTAGCACCACTGTGTTCACATACTTCCCCATTTCTCTATTTCTGCACATTTGGAGGTTGAAGTGGTACATGGGAACTGTATATGATAAAGTTCAATATTAGTTTGATTCCTGTTTCTAACTTAGATTCGTTTAGCCTGGCTTCACTTCTATGGCAAATGAGAACAGTAAGAACGGGCTCCTTTATTCTTGAACCATTCCACTATTACATGCTCAACTGGGTGTTTGGTATACGTCCGAGGATTTCGTTTGCCTTCGTGTGACACAGGTTCACCCAGAAGAAGTGGTAGGTTTTCCTGCTATATGAAGCCTTTGCTGCAAAACCTCCCACGTGGAATGTATCTAAAAATCGTTTCAGTTTCTTGATGCTGTGGAGGCTAACAAACTCGTGAGGGCTTTGCAAGTTCAAGGCAGGCAAATGTCAGGGAGTTGGATCTGGCCTTGAAGTACTTAAAGATATTAGTCCCTGGAGAGGGAGCCAAGAAAAAAGTTTTGCATTTTTCTGCTTTGGTTCAGAGAAAAGCTGTAGGAAACAAACAAACAAAAAGAATCATGTTAATTGGGCCAAATGTAACTCAAAATCCCATTTTTCATTCTTTTCTAAATTAAAGAAAAAATATCATACAAGGTGTAGTGCTAAGAAACCCACGTGACTCTGTCTGGACATAAGAAATATGTCTGAGGCAAAGGTTGCTTTATATCTGAGAGCGCACTCTGCAACTCTCATCCATCCTGCAGAAATCATTCATTAAAAGCAGCCTTTCTATCCTAAGAAAGACTAAAATAGGAGATTTGTTTAAATAGAGTATGTGTTCATTGCTTGGAATTGTCCAAGGGAAAAAAAGACCATAAGTCATCACAGCCAACAGCGTAAAACAGGTTTTGAACAGACAGGAAGATCTGGCTTCTCCTGGCTGAACTGGGAGGCAGGATACTCAGTCGGACTGGCATATTTTAATATGGGAAACAGGTTGGCAGCAGATGTCCCCTACAAAGTATGTTAACACTTGTTTCTGGTATTTGGGGCTAGCAATTCACCTGGCTATGTGAATCTATTTGTTCACGTAGACTTAACAGGAGGAACTGTACAGCAGGTATTGCTCAGAATAGGAGGAGACACCCAGCTATCTGACATACTCTTCTGTTGATTTTTCTTCACATAAAATATTAAGGAAGACAATAAGAGTTGAAATAAGCCTGATTATCCCCATGCCAGTGAGTAAACTCTAAGAAATGCTTGCTTAGTGCACTATAATTTTAAAGTACATGAATAAAGAGGGCAAACAAAGCAAATCCATCCCCAGCAGCTGGTTTGCTTTTGACTGTTCAGTGAGTAGTCACCAGCATCTGCCACCATGGCTAATGTAGAAGTTAGTCGTTCCTTGTGAAGGAATTTGTCCATCTGACATTCTTTGATGAAGCATCCAATACCATTGTAGATTTGTTGCTTTGAAGCCTTTGTTGCAAGCCATTGGGAGAATACATTTAGTTGCATGTGTTAATTGCTTCATGTGCAAGTATTTCCATGGCATATGTGATATCTTTGAAAACATTTTCGAGATGTACAGCTTGAAATATGTAACTCTTTCCACTAGCATCCATTGTGCACTCTAATGGGATTAGGTCATGCTCTACTAGACCAAAGCACGATTGGGTAACTCTAGAAAGTAACCATGTGGAGTCCTACGGCTAAAGCTTGTCAGACTGCTACATCTGAGCTGTTGCATGTGGATCAGGCAATTGGATTGCTTTTGCAGTGCTATTTGTTCCTAGTCTGACGGGACTTCTTTCTCTTAGCTTAGCTTTGTGGGAAGGCACAAAGGTGTGTGATGCAAGGCTCTTTTCAGCCACTTCTGGCCTTACTTCTGAGTCCTAATAGCATCTCAGATCCCTAAACTCAGGAATCACTGGAAGAAATTTAGGAGCCAGTAGACACAGCTATAGCTGCCTTTACATTTTCATGCTGTGGAACCTCGATTAAGGAGAGCAGTAAGGGAGGAAGAGAGTCATCGCGGGCAGCGCTAATGGACATCCCGCTTGCCACAAATGGGAATGTGCAGAGTCCATCTCACAGCTTTCCAGTCACGGATTGATAACCCTCATTCCTGATGATGGGATTGCAAGACTGTGTTGCTCTATATATAACAATGCATTTTCGTAAACTGAGTTCTTCAGTCATCACCTCAAATTGAATTCTTCTGTCCTGAGCCTTCACTGATATACTTTGTTAATAGTTCATTGTATACTGTTTAGAAAACACAAAGTTTGGGAACAACCTGAGGATGAGAGATGTGATTACTAAGTTTGTGTGTATATTTTCATATGTGCAGAGATTTTATATGTATATGTATTGTATATTTATGTGCATGCGCAGTTGGTTAAAATCCTCATGGAAAGACATAAGGAGGCTATGCTCAGTGCAGGGCTCGTCTTGGTTAGATCACTAGTCTTCTAGCCGGTCTTCTGTGGTCCTGTCATCCAAAAGCTAAAGCTGGCCAGGGATCAAATTCTTGTAAGAAGTGGAATATACTACTCAAAATTGGTTCCATAGCACAGCAATACTACTGACAGGAGCAGTACACATGCCAAATTCTGATGATAAGCTTTAAATGATGTCACCTTTTCCTGAAATCTAGGCAGTAGTCAATACATATAAGACTGGAATCCTATGGAAACAGGCCTTTGTTTCTCTAGAAATGTACCAGTTCAGCCATCCATTTTAAGTTTTTTATACCAAGGGATTTCCAAGGAATAATTTTGTTGCACCTTTTTTTTGAGAATGAGCTGGAGCTAAGACTTGAGTAGTTCTTCTGTATAATGCTGTCCTCTATCATCACTAATTTCCAAGATAGCTCTTTAAACAGCAGCTGTCACTTTCTGATCTGCCTTGAGCCTCCTGCCTGCTTCATTTTGTAATGTCACGAACGGTGGATTGTGGATTCGTAGAATAGAGCAGGTCTGATTAAAGACGAAGAAACTTCCTTTTACGCATGCACATCCTTATAATCATCAGTGATGGGGAAGGAAATAAATAGTACAGTATGCATAAACTGGAAATGTCTCTCTGCGGGCCCTTCTGCTTCAATTTAAGTTCCTCGAATCCATTTTCTTTGTTTTTAACCTTAACCCTTTCTCACTCTCATGAGGGCCCTCTTCAGGGCCTTTCA